CGTGGGTACCAATTTTCGTGGATTGAGGAAAACTTGCATATTCGTGGATATTTAAATTCGTGGTTTTTTGCAAAGTCTGCATACATTCCTAAAGAAAATTTGTAATTCGTTGAACTTTTAAATTCGTGGTTCCCCTGTACCCACGAAATCCACGAAAATTAGTATCCAACGAATATTAATGAATCCACAGTATATACACTTTCAAAACTGTGTTACTTTCCCAATTCTATATAGATAAAATGAAGGCCTCTCATATTGGGAATTGTCACCATGCATGTTTGTATCTAATTGAGAGGCATTTATATGATCCCTGAATCATATAAAAAATCACTTTGTCTGTCTGTCCTTCTGTACCTGCCCAGAGGGTAACTGCATGAATGAAATGAAACTTATTCAGATGGAGGATATAGGAAAGGGGAAAAAGCCTATTAATTTTGGGTCAATGGTCAAGGTGAAGGTAAATGTTTCAAAAAAAAGAAAATTCAGGAAAATGGTTTCCCGGTTGTAACTCAAGTTTCCCTTGCTTGATTGAAACAAAACTATTAGTAATATAGAAATAAAATGTATGAAAGGGGAAAAAAACGATTGCTTGAAGGGACAACAGGTCAGAAGTGAAGGTCACTGTTACTTAAAATAGAAAAAAAATGGAAAAATGATTTCCAGATGGTAACTTGAGTTTCCCTTGTTTGATTGGAATGAACCTTACAGATGAAACATATAGTGAAGGGGAAGATTTTGTGGTCAAAAGGTCAATGTAATTGTTCCTAAATTATTTTTTTAAGTTGATTTCTCCAAACATAGTATTGAATTAAGTGTGTATTTTCTTGGAATATAGATGAAAGTTGAGAATTCTGGTGGTTACATCAATTCATAAGTCAATTACACTCATTATTACACCTTCAACATTGTTGTAAAGTTGAGAAATGTAAATAAGTAGTGAAGATAAATAGAATGAAATTAAAAGGGCATTTAATTCAGACTTAAGGCTTTTACATCATGAATTAAACATACAGTATGGACACTTGTTTATCATTGAGGACAAACTGTTGACTTTTACAGGTCAATTTATGTTAAAGGGCTATTGCCTCATTGACATTTGTCACACCTCTCTTTTTTTATTCATATGTAAATGTTGTCTACATGAAAAGATTTCAGTTACAAAGTGCAGAGTCTCTGCATGTCATGTTGTATTAACCTTAATTGATATTTTTACTAAAGAACTACAACTGCCTGCAGCATTACTTTAACTTGGTACTAGAAATTATAAGTAAATTAGGATAGAAACCTTCATACATAGCAAGTCATTGCTTATCCCCTCAGGCAAGTCGTGAACTGTCATCTTTTAAGCATCTTTACATTAAATTACATGTGAATGTTATTGTAACTTTCATGTACAAAGTCATATTTACTTTTTATGGATTATTAATTACTTTGTGTATTGAAATGGAAGGGTAAAATGAATATAAAAGGTTGAATCCTTTTAGGGAAGATGTTAAAGATTGTCTATTGTAAAAGTCAAGAAGATATAACAATTAGATTACCCAGAAGTCTATTTAACATAGTTCACGCAAATATATATATCTTAAAGAAACCAATATGAACGACAGAAAACTTACAAATTGAATATTGTATCACATGTACTTTTTGTGTGAGTTTATGTTAGCATAGCAAGGAGTTCCTTTCAGGTAGTTGTTTGATATAACGGTACATATTTTTGGTTTAGTAAGGAGTATTCTCTGCTGTAACATAATATATTGTTTTGCTGGTGACTGAGTTTTTTTTTTAACTGTGTGATACTGACATTGTAAAGCAAAGTGCTTTTTAACATTTAAAAAAAAAAAATATGTTGTTCTTTTTAATTTATATATGGTATTCAAATTATAAAAATTGAAAAAGGGGAAAGAAGGATTGAAGACATAAAAAACTTTTTTAACCCTGTAAATATTAATACTCCATGCAAGTCTTTTGTTATATCTTAGGAAGTTACTTTTAAGAACTTTTATTGATAGCAGATCTTTGGCAGTCTCCCTTATGTACATCCTGTTGGATTTGGGATGCATTTTAGAGCCTGACTTATAGTATACACACTAGTCTTGACCATTGTTTAAGTCAGCATGTTGACCTTTGAATGTCAATTTTACCTTTTTATAGTTGCGGTCGTATATTGGTATGACGTTGGCGTCGTCGTCCGAAGTCAAATTGGGTTTCGCACTCTAACTTTAGTTTAAGTGAATGGATCTCTATGAAATTTTACCATTAGGTTCAATACCACAAAAGGAAGGTTGGGATTGATTTTGGGGGTTATGGTACCAACAGTTAAGGAATTAAGGGCCAAAAAGGGGGCAAAAATAAGCATTTTTGTAACTTCCAGACATAACTTGTGTGTTAGTGTATGGATCTCTCTGACATTGTACCACAAAGTTCCATATCACAAAGGGAATGCTGGGATTGTTTTTGGGGTAATTGCCTCAAAATTTTAGGAATTAGGGGCCAAAAAAGGGTAAAAAAACAAGCATTTTTTCTAGTTTCATGACAATAACTTGTGTGCAAGTGTATGGATCTTTCTGAAATTGTACTACAAGGTTCCATATCACAAAGGGAAAGCTGGAATTGAGTTTGGGGGTAATTGCCCAAAATGTTTAGGAATAAGGGGCCAAAAAGGGGCAAAAAACAAGCATTTTTCTAGTTTCAGGACAATAACTTGTGTGTAAGTGTTTGGATCTTTATGAAATTGTACTACAAGGTTCCATATCACAAAGGGAAAGCTTGGTTTGAGTTTGGGGGTAATTGCCCGAAACATTTAGGAATTTGGGGCCAAAAAGGGGGCAAAAAAACAAGCATTTTTCTAGTTTCCAGACAATAACTTGTGTTCAAGTGTAAGGATCTCTCTGAAATTGTACTGCAAGGTACCATACCACAAAGGGAAGGCTGGGATTGAGTTTGGGGGTGATGAATCATAAGGGGGTTCAAAAAATTGGGGGGGGGGATTTTTTTTTCCTTTTTTTTTCTTTAAAATTTTCATTTTAAATTGGTTATTTCTGATTTATATATAAAAGCAAATAATAATGATATGGTTTGAATAGGTTAATTAAAATTTTTTAAGTTCTTAGACCACATTCATTCTGTGTCAGAAACCTTTGCTGTGTCAAATATTTAAACACAATCCAAATTCAGTGCTGTATCAAGCTTGAATGTTGTGTCCATACTTGCCCCAACTGTTCAGGGTTCGACCTCTGCGGTCGTATCAAGCTACGCCCAGTGGAGCATTTTATTGTCTTGTTGAGTTGCTGTCTCATTGATGTTTACCCCACATCTTCTTTTATTCATATTGATCATGGATCTTCTTTTGGTTATTTATACTTTCTATAAATTACTTATTTTCTCTCCTGACATTTCTGTAAAATCTGTATTCTGCAAGAGAATAAGAAATAATGTTTTTAATCTTGTAAGTGGTTTGTTAAACTGAACAACTTTGTGTCTTAAATGATATATAACATATTTATATGTTGAGCTGTTATTTATATTACTAAATTTGGAACAGACAAGGATATTGATTTTACTGTGTCAAACCTGAAGAAATTTGGATGACAATTTAACTGCACAATCAATATTGGATTTCCAGTTAGACTGACATAAATTTTGTCTTAAAAGCTTTGTATTCAGTGTAAAATGTATTGTAAATTTTAATTCTAGCCTTGAATTTTAAAGATTAAATTGCACCTCCTATTTTGAAGTACAAATGTATAGAGTTTAAATTTCGTGTTTATAAATATGAATACTTATATACTTCCTTATCACTGTTACAGGCGTATATGTAATTTGGTCCACATTTCAAAACTTACGATAAGAACCCTGCATTAGCATATATATTATGTTGGAATTGAATTATCTTATACTCAATTTTACATTTTGGGGTCATAATGAAAAATCTTATGATAGCACAAATATTTTCAGCAGTACTATTTTGTTTGTGATAAGTTGTGACCTGATGGTAATGAACTTCTAATATTGCAGTATATTTATTAGTCCCCTACCGATGAAGTCGAAGCGGACTTTAGGTTTGCACTCTGTCTGTCTGTCTGTCTGTCTGTCCATCAGTCAGTCCGGCAAATCCGTTTTCCACACTTTTTTTCTTCGTGCTTGAAGATATTGATTTGATATTTGGTACATTGTTTTATTATGACAAGTTACAGATCAAGTTCGAATTTTGTTCCGGTCTGATGATATTGTGCAGAGTTATGGTCCTTGGTATTAGAAAATTCACTTAAATAATCAGTTTTCCACACATTTTTTCGTCATGCTTGAAGATATTGACTCAATATTTGTTATATAGTTTACACCATGACAAGTTATAGATCAAGTAAGCATTTTGTTCCAGTACAATTAATTTTTAACTGGTAGGGGACTATGTATTGCCATGCAATACTCTCAGAATGCTTGTTCCATTTGGAACTTATTTTATGAAGGTACTTCTATTTCATAACAACTCCATCCATATTCCTCAAAAGTTCTGATATATGCAGTTTTGTTTTATTACAAATTTGCAGGAGGTACATGACACTTTCCTGTTTAAAAATGGGAGGTTTCATATCAAAATGTACCTGTTTTGTGGACACATTTGTCAATATTTGATTAAAATTACATGTCACATTATGAGCAACAATATTATCTGATAATAGAAAGAGTTACCCATTGTTCTAATTGAAACAAGAAGGGAGATTTAATGATTATATATGACGTAATGCATAAATATGTAGATAGATGATAATTATTTATAATGGGAGTTTTTTTTTATACAACCGGTAGTATTATGTTATTCTCATTTGCATTTTCCCCGACAAATGAGACTGTAATAATGTGGGGTCCCCTTAGTTGCTTCCCTGGACAACTTAAGGTTTATGTAACAGGTGATAATTTATAATGTATGCTTAAAATTGAAAAAAAAAGAAGGAAGATCTTCTTTTACATCATATTTTATGATCATATCTTTTCTTTTTCAGACAAGAAGTATTGAACAAGATAAAAACCTACAATGAATTCTACCAAGAGAAAGGAAAGAAAAGACAATCTGTGTCAGCTTCTACTGTAAGTTTACAAAAAAACAATATATTTCAGCTTCTACTGTAAGTTAACAAGAAGACAATAGTTGTCAGTTTCTACTGTAAGTTTACATAAAGACAATCAGTGGAAGCTTTTACTGTAAGTTAACAAAAAGAAAATTCATGTCAGCTTCTACTGTAAATTAATAAAAAGAGAATCACCGTCAGCTTTTACTGTAAGTTAATAAAAAGACAACCTGTGTTAGCTTCTACTGTAAGTTAATAAAAAGACAATCAGTGCCAGCTTCTGCTGTTAGTTAACATAATTGTTATTCTGCAATAGATAGAAGTTTTTTAGTGTTAAGATAGCCAATTGAAGGTTGTGTATTTTTATACGCCCGTTTACGGGACGTATTATGGTACACCGTTGACCGCCTGTCTGTCTGTCCGTCCGTCCGTCGTCAAAATGTCGGACATTAACTCAAAAAAGCTTTAACCAATATGCATGAAACTTTGTTGAATTGTTTATATTTATTGACGTGAGCTCCCTTTCGTTTTTTATAAATTTCAGATTTGCCGTTTCTGAGTTTTGGGGTTTTATTCATTAAAAAAGGGGGGATTTTCCAGTTTTCCGACAATAACTCAAGAATGCTTTCACCAACTTGCAAGAAATTTTAGTGAATTGTTTATATCTATTGACATGAGCTCCCTTTTGGATTTTTATAAATTTTAGATTTAACGTTTCCGAGTTTTGGGGTTTTATTCATTAAAAAAGGGGGAATTTTCCAGTTTTTGACAATAACTCAAAAATACTTTCGGCAGTTCTCATGAAACTTTGGTGAATTATTTATAGCTAATGATGTAATCTCCCTATTGATTTTCATAAATTTCAAATATGACATTGAGAAGAAATTGAACTTTATTTGTTTATAGTCTGACAACAGATTTACTAAGTATTGCGCAACAGCACAGAGTATTGCACAACAGCAAGAAATCTTTAATTGAATATAAATTCAGTTCATATAACCAATTTCAAGTTCTTTGACTACATTTATTCAGAAACCTATAATATGTCAATAATTTAATTACAATCCAAATTCAGACCTGTATCAAGCTTGAATATTGTGTCCATTTTTGCCCCAACTGTTCAGGGTTGGACCTCTGTGGGCGTATCCAGCTGTGCTCAGCGAAGCAGTTTATTTTGTTTCTTTCTTGCTTCCACAAAAGATTAAGAGCCTAAGAAGGATTATACTATTAATAACAGTTGAAGTCTGATTTTCACTACTACTGCAATCACCTTTGATGTGTAATCGTGCTTGAATTGTTTCAAAAATGGTTGAATCTCTTTCTGTATATAAACACATCATGTTCTCTTAGGAGTAGGATCTTATAACTTTGCAATGTTCATTACTACGTACCTTGAGATGCCTCAATTTCTGTTTAAGAGTTGAACTCAGGTATTGAGTACCATGCCTCTTTAATTGTCTCAAATCTTTCATCCAGGGGATATACCTGTGATTGTTTATGTTAATACACCAGCTTTAATTATAGGAAAGTGGTGTACAGATTTACCTCTGTCCATCAGTCTGTTTAATAACATATTTTTCAAAATTGCAAATCAAGAGATTTCTGAAGTTTGGCATCAAGTTTTATGTGAGCATGCTATATGGTGTGGAGCTCCACCATCATCAATTTTCTGTTTACGAAATGCTTACAGCTGGGGTTTCACTAGCGAGCAATTGCTCATAGTTCATTTTGTTTAAGGGGCATCAGTGGTCAAGTAGTCTTAAGTAGTTCATTTACAGTTGTCACTCATCCTGTCAACTCAAAGGTTGTGAGTTAGGACCCCCCTAGTGGTAAGATGTGTTTGACTTTGATCTTAACGGACAAAAATTGCCAGTTTTCCTACCAGTTGGTATTTCCCTCCAGGCATTCAAGCTTTATAGGCCATGATATTACCCATGATATAGATATGGTTGCTGAATTTGGCTTTAAACACCAACAAAGAAACAAACATACATTGTGTACATCTTGTAAAGACCATGTTATTGTTCTCTACAAAAAAGGTTACATCTATCAAGATTGATTTAAATATTCTGTCAGTAACCTTGACAATCAATGATTGAATGATATAAGAAGTGCTTATTAATTTTTTGTTATTTATTAATTATTGGTTATTAATTATGATTGATATTTTTTTGTTATTTATTAATCATAATTTAAATATGTGACAGAAATTTCTGACAAGCTGTTTTAAGCAAACACATGTTATGTAGTATATTTACTTGTTAACAGTATTACCTGTGAATGTGAACATGATATTATATGTTTTAAAATGGAAAATTTTGTGTGTTGCATATCAGTTCCTGTCATATAGATATAAGTATAATATGAATATATGTTTAAAATAGCTGAGTTGTTATTTGCATTGAATATCTATGTGAAAAATATGTAAAAAATCAATACAATTTCAAACTTAGGTGTCTCCAAAAGTCTTTCATATTATCATATCATGTCCTATTAACTGTCATGTTTGTTTTTAGTGTAAATTGTATTTTTCTTAGTATGTTCCCTTTCCATACATTGAAATAAAAAAAAATGTTAAAAGGGTTTGCCTCTGAATAAATAAAAGTTTGCGAATTGAGCTCATAAAGCAACAATAGTGTAAAGAAACATGTGTTTTAGAAAAAAGAACTGTTTGTAAACCTTTCAAAATTTTCCATACTGATCGATGGGTGTTTCAGTCAGAATAAACTGACTCACAGTACCAGCAATGCTTTGAGTTTTTGTTCTTATCACATCAATGAGTTAAATGCCTAATATTTTTTATAGTTTTGGTTTTTTCTAAGAATCCATCTTGTTTTCAATAACTTAACTCACTTAGGGACTTTGCTTTGGGAATACACATTAACTACTGAGCTCACATTTTAGAACTGACTAAGTTCATATTACCGTTCCTACTCGCTTATTAGTCGGAAAATTGGGAGTAAAATTCATAATCCAGAGAGGGGGACCGACTAATAGACGAGATCTAGCGACCAGAGGAAAAATCCAAGCTTGAGAAAAGTGGTCAGGAGTGAATTTCCTTGTCAAAACTACGTTTTTGATTGCCAAACCTACATAAATCAATAAATAAAAAGTTTTTGTTGAAAATAAATGACTACAATACTGTCTTTGTGTTTTATTTGTTCTTTGGTAAACATTTTCTGCAAATTCGTGTTGAAATTCTACTGTTTCCGGTTTGTGTATTGATTTTCATGGTCACATGGTTTTCCTATAAACCCAAAAGAAGAGCCAAGAACCAAAAATGAAAAGGAGATAACAATGTACCAAATATGTGAAAGGATGTTTTCAGCGGAGTTATTGTGTCATTATTGTGATATCATGATATCAATTCAATGCTTATAAATCATATTATAATCAAAAAATAATTTTAAGATTCATTCCCAAAATCAAAATATTATTCATTAAAGTGTCTCAGGTAAACAAAAATTACAAAATTGATTGACAAGCCAATATAATCCATTGATAACCCCAATTAAGAGACAAAGAGTTGTATTTACTAAAGGTGTGAAAACTATCAGTGATAGGTAAACAGATGACACTAATGAGTTGGAGTTAGTTATTTTAATATATTGATTAGCTTCACTTAATTTTTTTAATCCTTTAATCATCACAATATAATAAGAATTATGAAGTGTACATGCTCATTTAACACCAAGTTATGTATGCTGTGAAAAATATTTTCATCAAGTGTTGATTGACTTTAAATTTTTCAGGTTCATATTGGTTTATATTCGCTTTTCTCAAACAATAGGTTATTAGTCATACCCTACAAAATCATTGATGCATTATGTAAACAACACATGGCTAATCTAACATTTGAACAGTGAACAAAACAAGAGAAATGAATACATCTTTATTATTAACAGCAATATAAATTATCATGATGAGCATCAACTAAATTCAAACCAAACAAACATTAATGCAGAAATGAATATTATTCCTGGATTTGCATTGGTTTTACCGGCGTTCAGTTACTGTCAGCTGAAAAAAAAATGCCCAAAATTTGTCCGACTTATACGAGGGTCAAGACTAAATCCTTAGAATTTGGAGCTGAAAAGGGCCCCCGACTTATAGTAGGATCGACTATTAGGCGAGTATCTACGGTAGTTTCATTAAATGCTCAATACTACTCAGGTTGTGTTGTAAGAGGTACATTTTTATATGACCTTTGAATATTGTAATGTATATTAGCATATGCTAGGGATACAGTCAAGTCTTCTCTAACGTCTATTTTATACAGAATTTGTATAACTTAATAAGGTTGTAATTTGTCATGTTTTTATACATGTAGTTTTAATCAGTCAAATTTGATATTTGTATTGTGAAATAAGGACTTGAGATACTGTTTTTATAGAGAAGAAAAAAAATTGCTTATACTTATAAATATATCTTTTTAGTTAAATTTATTAAAATGCTTTTTTTTTAATTATTTAACCTCTATATATATATATATGTCTTTTTATTATATTTATAAATTGATAAAAAAAAACATTCTTGCAACATGAATATATTATGAGAAAGCATTATGCCGTATTTGATGTTATGTAATATATTTGTAATTTCAGGACAACAATAACCTAGTCATTAGAGGTCCCGTGACGATTCTATGGGGAGTTAAAAAACCAATCAGATTCCAGCATTGTGATGATGTGCCCCCAGAGCGCCCGCCTGTAAATCATCGACACAGCTTCATGCCAGAATCTGATGTTAAAATTCCCACCGATATGAAGGTTTGTGCCATTATTAACAATTATTACAGGGATAGCGGAGAGTAATAGTATTATCTAGGTGATAATGGATTTAAACAAAATACATTACACTATGAAATGTAAGAGTGCAATGAGGTAGTTGTAAATTATGAGGGTGGTAATACATTAATATGGCACGATTAGTTACTATGGATTCATTATTTTTCATTGGGTACCAATTATCGTTGATTTCATGGGGAAAAATAAACCACAAATTTAAGTGTTCAAGAAAGTACAAATTTCCTTTTGGCTTGTATGTAGACTTTGGCAAAACCACAAAATAAAGTATCCATGAAAATACTGTTTTTCAATCCATGAAAATTGATCCCCACAAAAGTATGAAAAATTTCAAAGTTTATATGAGGCTAATGCACTCATGCAGCATAAATCAAAGATGTGTTAATAAAAAATCTAACAAGTGGTTAAATTTATTTTAATTTGAATTATTAAAAGATTTCAAATGTGGAAACCATAATTTGCTTTTGTGCTTGGGTCAACCCTGAAAGGTATATCAATAATTAAGTAGTGAAACCATAGCTACCTAACAATCTTTATTCCCCCTGCAAACAATGTTTTGTGGGATATATAGGAATCACCCTGTCCCACTGTCTGTCTGTCCCTCCATCTGCCATGTAAGCCCAACTTCTCCTTAACAGCTAGATGGATATTGAAGAAACTTCACACATTTGTAGAACACTAATTGAGGATATGACAAAGGAATATAATGATAAATGAACGAGTGAGTAAAAATATCTAAAAAAAAATATCTTTCATAGCCCTCTTTTAAATATGACAATCATCTTTGATTACTGTGAATTGATTTATTATCAAAGGATATGGTTTCAAGGGCCAAATAATGCTGCATGGCTTTATTTTCATTTTACTTGCTACTAGTTCGATTAATTCTGATGTTTAAAAAAGAAGAAAATTAAGCAAGGTAATATTTTCACATTGCATGCACATAGAATTTATTTAATTCAATATTGCAATATGTTGCATAGTCGCTTGTAAGGAGTGGGGTGTCCTTTTGTGAATTCACTCACTGTTCTAGTTTAAAATAGCTCTAGATAAAATTAAGATCTTACTAAACAGTTGCAAGAGATTTAACTATCACATGAATTGTGTATGATGTAAATAATATAATGGAGAGACGAATGATACCAAAGGGACATTCAAACTTAAAAAAAATAAACTCTCAACGCCATGGCTAAAAACAGAAAAAGACCAAAAGACAGACAACAGTACACAAAATACAGCATAGAAAACTAAAGACTGAGCAACACTAACCCCACCAAAAAACTAGTGAGTGATCTCAGGTGCTCTGGAAGGGTAAGCAGACCCTGCTCCACATGTGGCACCCGCTGTGTTGCTCAAGAAAGTACAAACCTGGTGACAAGTCTAATTCAGTAGGTCACATTGGATGTTTATTTATCATTCATATTTAAACATCAGATTTTCTTTTGAAATAGACAATACTGTGCGATTTACTTAAAAGTAAGTCTTTGTTCACCGAAAAGTGTAACATTCATTGAATAATACAATAGAAAATGCATTTTGATGATTAATTTGATTTTGTTTGAAGGCAATCAGAGAGTCTACTAGTTCACCTTTGCGTAAAATTACAATTGATGACAGCATGGTACAGTCACCAACAGAAATAGAGGGAGTTACTATGCGACGGAGACCTGTTAAAAAGTTCAATACAGTAGCATACAGAGGTGATAAAAGACCAGAAAAATGGAAACGAGCATCAATAAATGGTCATATATACAGTTATGAAGTAAGTAAAATATCTGACTTTAAAACAGATATTATAAGCCATTAAAGGAATATATGGAGACAATGAAAAATGTATTGCCAATATTTCTTCTTTACCGTAAGTCATTATAAAAAATATTTGTCCAGCTGATGACTCTTTGGTGCCCATTTCATTTGGAAAAAACCTTTGCTTGGTTAGTTTTCCAGCAAAACATAAACATAAGACTTTTTTTGTAAGAATGATTTATAAAATGCTGGTCTTAACAATGTTTGAGATTCTCTTTTAATTTCTGATTATTGTCAGCAAAATGACTTTTTGGCTTTCATATTAATATTCAAGCTCAGATTGTTTCCTGATGTACATGACATTTCCATATTTGTTTCATCATTGGACTTGAATTTGATATAATAATAGTAAAATGTCATAGTGTATGACCTAATGGTATATGGCTCTTATACCATGAGTAGGTAACAGCCATATAGTGGGTTGCTCTCAACCAATGAAAAAGCTAGATTTTTTGTAATAGGGATGATAATGATACATACATACACAGTTTATGTATAATGTTGATTTTACTTGTAGGAAACTGAGAAACAGGTAGAAATAAAATGTTTGTTGAGAGTTTTGCGCCTGTTAATTGCCTTTAATACAATTTAGTATTAGAATTTTTTATATCTTATATTTTTTATGCCCCCGCCGTCACCAGATGGGGCATTAAGTGTTACCCTTGTCTGTCCGTTCGTATGTAAGTCCCAAAATTGGTTTCCGTTCTTCAACTTTAGTTTACCTCAACGAAATGTTATGAAACTTATATACACAATGCTTATTACCCCAAAACACAGATCAAGTTCGAATTTGGGTGGCATGACTTCTACCGTTCTGGAGTTATGCCCCTTTATAAAGGAAAAATTGCTGAATTTTTTGTTTCTGTTCTCTAACTTTAGTTTGCCTAAACCAAATGTTATGAAACTGATAAACAATGCTTATTACCACAAAGCTCAGATCAAGCTTGAATTTGGGTGGTGTCAGTTTTAATGTTCTCAAGTTATGACTCTTTATAACGTTATATGCAAGCGGGGGCATCATCTGTGTCCCATGGACACATTCCTCATTTATTTTCCTTTAAAATTGAATTCTACATTTAGTTGACAAAAAATGAATATTAACTGTTGTAGAAAGGAGATATTATATAACTCACAATGTTCACCTGTCAAGAAAGAGGCCCAATTTAGAGAAAATTTACATTGACCTTAGAATAAGTTAAAACAAATTGCTACATGCATATATATATATATGGCTTGTGAAAAAACACAAACAATCAGCAGAGCAGAATGACAGTATTAAGAGCACATTTGAGGCTGTGGGGATTACTGTTAATTAATTCATCTTGGAACTTTGTAGTATGTTCAAATATCTTCTGTTTGAAGCATCCTATTTCAAGACTAGTAAGTTTGCAAAAATTTCTCAAAGAAAGCTTGATACATTTTACATTAACTACGAATAAGTTTAAAGAAACTTCAGTGTGCGTATTGCCTTGTAAGACAACAAACAATTAGCAGAGCAGAATGACTGTATTAAGAGCACTTTCCAGGCTAGGGGATTACTGTTAATCAATTTATCTGTTAATCTGTTTTGCTGTTACAAGTATTGAAATGATTGAACCGTGTGTTTTAATTAACTGTAACATAAGTTGTTAATGTGACAATTTTAACAATGTCCACTTTCTTGAGATGTTTTAAATTTATATCTAACTGTCATTAAGTAATGTTTTCATTTCTTACATTTTATTTGGTTAAAAGATAGGTCACTTCTTTAATATTTTAATTTGTTGTAGATGTTTTAAATTTATATCTAACTGTCATTAAGTAATGTTTTCATTTCTTACATTTTATTTGGTTAAAAGATAGGTCACTTCTTTAATATTTTAATTTGTTGTATTCTATTGTCATCTGCAAAAAAAAACTGTTGCTATATATAGATTGGCTGTGTGCATATACTATTGGTTTACATTCATGTTCTGTCATTATTCTACCAATCTAGAAGATTCCAGAAAATATTCACAGTAGTTTTATTTTTATACACCCGTTTACGGGACGTATTTTGGTATACCGTTGTTCGTCTGTCTGTCTGTCTGTCCGTCGTCAACATGTCGGACATTGACTTAAAAACGCTTTAAATAATATGCATGAAACTTTGGTGAATTGTTTATATCTATTAATGTGAGCTCCCTTTCGTTTTTTATAAATTTCAGATTTACCGTTTCTGAGTTTTGGGGTTTTATTCATTAAAAAAGGGGGGATTTTCCAGTTTTCCGACAATAACTCAAGAATCTTTCACCATCTTGCAAGAAATTTTGGTGAATTGTTTATATCTATTGACATGAGCTCCCTTTCGATTTTTATAAATTTTAGATTGTACGTTTATGAGTTACAGGGTTTTATTCATAAAAAAGGGATTTTCCAGTTTTTGGACAATAACTCAAAAATGCTTTAAGCAGTTTGCATGAAACTTTGGTGAATTATTTATAGCTATTGATGTAATCTCCCAATTGATTTTCATAAATTTCAAATATGACATTGAGAAGAAATTGAACTCTATTTGTTTATAGTCTGACAACAGATTTACTAAGTATTGCACAACAGCACAGTGTATTGCACAACAGCAAGAAATTAAATATAAATTCAATTCATATAACCAATTTCAAGTTCTTTGACTACATTTATTCAGAAACCTATAATATGTCAAATATTTAATTACAATCCAAATTCAGACCTGTATCAAGCTTGAATATTGTGTCCATTTTTGCCTCAACTGTTCAGGGTTGGACCTCTGTGGGCGTATCCAGCTGCGCTCAGCGAAGCAGTTTATTGCTTATGAACTCTTACAGCAAAAATTGTGAAAGAGATTTAATATCACAGTCAAAGCGATATTTTGCTGCAATGTACAAACTAGCTATATCCATGATGCATTTCATGGACAGAAAGATAAAGAATTATTTCTTCAAAGTATTGAAAAAAAAAATTTCGTGTATATCATCTGACAGAAATTTAGTTTCAATGTAGGATGTCAAAATTTTCCTTTCAGCTGTTATGTATGTATAAAATATAAGAAAAGATATGTGGAAAGTACATGAATGAGGCCTTTAACAGGCTACATCATTCTAAGTCCATTCAATTCCAAACAAAAAATGTGTAGCTAAGAATTATTACCAACAGACTGTAGTTTATGATTATCATGACTTTCTTGTTCTATTTTTAGACTTGTGTGTTTACTCCTAGTTTAGGCAGTAGTACAAGTGTGACTGTTGACAGTACAACCACTACACCTAAAGTTATCAAAGCTCTGCTGGATAAGTTTAAGGTAAGTACAGAAATAAATTACAATATAGGTATTTTTTGTGCAATTTTTTGGAAAAAATGTAAAAATCTAGAAATGTTAATATAAAGTCAAAGATAAACTTCTGATTGTCCATTCAGACATATAGAAACTTACTAGATACTTTATTTAACATTCAAAGATAATGCTAAATTAAGAATATTAAGTTGAAAAAACAAAAATGCTGCTTAAAATCTCAAGACTGATACATCAGTTAGATACAGTACCTTTATCTTTTTCAGGTTGAAAATTCACCAAATGAATATGCTTTGTATATAGTTGATGAAGAAAACAGTGAGTGTTTCTTTATGTTTTATTCTATTGACTTTTTTGGATGGGTTTATAAAACAAATTTGACTGGTCTATATAAACATCAAACACCATTATAAGCATAATTTGCATTAATAAAAGTTTCATTAGCCCATTATTATATGAACAATGGGTCTCCCTAAAATAGATCTAAAGCTCAACCTGCATGTTTAACATTATGACTACCACAAACAGAACAAAACCTGGCTTTTAAAGATCCCAAAAGAAATACATTGTACATGCATTTAAGCATATTTTTTTTTGAAGAATGGTGTATATTGTAGTTTCTATTCATTCCACCTGTACTGAGGAAAACCTTAATATATGCAGAAAAGCAGCCGAACAAACACAGGTATAAAAATGTAATTTGGTTATTATACAGTAGGTAAGATATTTTGAAAGCCCTAATTATATATTATAACATTTTAGGTGAAAGAATACTCAGGGATACAGACATTCCATTGTTAGAGAGAATTAGTTTAGGGCCAGATGAAGTATCTGGTGCTAAGTTATTATTACGTGATCGTGTGGAGAGAAAACAATCATTACTTGACACACCTATATTCGAAGTGTCACCGGCAGAAGAAGAATCAAAAGAGCAAGAAGATTTTGTGAAATTACCAGATGAGGTATGTTAGCTGATTGTTTGACTTACCAAATCTTAAATAAGCTGATTTTTACTACAGTATCTAGTAGCAATTCAGTATTCAGATCTCCAGTATTTAAAATTGTGTACAGTTCATGTTTAGTAGACATCATACAATCTACGAAGTACTGTCTGTTTGCATTGAGATAATGGATTTGACTGTATTACTGTGAACTAACTGTCAAAATATTTATATGAACAATGCATTTGTAAGCATTGGCTGTCTGTTCAGAGTTAAGGTTTGAATTCTGTTAGAAAAGATTGTTTGTTTTCTGCTTAAAAGTAAAAGTAAGAATAATTAATGTAATTGCTATAAAAATTATGATAGTAAACTCCTTAAAGATACATTTGAAGTATTTTATTCCTCTGTAATTGTCAATTTTATGATTAGATGCGGTGATTCGTGAACAAAAAAGTTACAATTTTGACTACATTTTCCTTGACAGATAGAAACATTAATAGCTTTACCTGAACCAGTGCTGAGAGGCATTTTATCAAAATTTAAACAAGATGAAGATGATGATGTCCATCAGTTGAAATCAAGGTAATTTTCCTATGATGTATAACACATGCACAATACTGGTGTATTTATGATACTAACAAATACAGGTACTGTCACTTTAATAGTTGAAAAAACTAGAACTCATATCAATAATAAATTAAAGATGGCAGTATACTTCCATGAGACAGCAATTCAATAACGAAATAACAAAAAGACGTCTAGAGGTCAACATGTGATCTTCAACAATAGATGGATGTCTATACAATTTATCAAACTCTAAATCTTATGTCTTGAGGAATGCCATATTGACATTATTGTTCTGCACCAAAATGACTGTGATAACTAGAGATGCCATTTAATCATACATGCAATTATCATAAAGCACAGACATTAGAACTCTTGTCCAAGTTTAACTTGTTACTATTTGGAAATATTTAATAAAATTAAACACAAGTGAACCAACGCCTGGTAAATCTTCTGTCAGTAGATTCCATAAAGTGGATACTTCGGGTATGCAGGGTCGTTACAATAAAAACATAAAATGTAGAAGGTCCTCTAACAATAACACTTTAAGGAATGCTCCAGTAATTTATTGAGATCGACATGTTTCGGTGCCTAGGGCACCATCATTAGGATAGAAAACAATACATAAAAATCATGCTGATGTACAAAATCAGGTTGAGAAAATTAAAACGTCACAATGTTGCTATCCTGAGTAATATTATTAATTCATATATTTTAACTAATTTGATTCGTTCAGGGATAGTCACATGTTAAACTACATTTTCGAAGGTAGAGAGAAAACGGCGGATAGCAAAAAGCTTATTGCACAGCAAAAAGCATATTGCACGGTTATTTTTAGAACATCTAAAAACCGATATACTTTGTGACGTCATGTAATGAATTTCATGATATTGTAAAAAGTTTTATAAAAAAATATCTATGATCGATTATTTGAAGAAAAAGAATCTTCAAATACATAACATGTGAAAAAAAAAACATCAAAAAGTAAATGAAATAACAAGTAATCTGTTGTTATTGTCAAGGAGACAATATGATATCTATAAAATTACAACAAAATCAAATGACGATTTTGATACAAATATGGTCGGAAATTAATAATAGAACAATTATAGCCTATTTATGAGGTCAATACAGGATATATCGACCCAAAGAAGTATATCGACCTCGGACTTCGTCCTCAGTCAATATTATTCTTTCAGGTCAATATATCCTTGTATCAACCTCCTACAAAGGCTATAATTGTATAATGTTATAAATAGCAATTGAAAGAGAAAGTGAAAGTGAAAGAAAGTATATATGGAAGTAAAGTATTAAAATAAAATAAAAATACAATGTTTTTGTTGTTAAAATGTTTGTTAAAATTATTCTGCCCATCATGTGTTAGCACTCTTGCACAGTGGAACGAATTATACAATAAATTATTGTCAGTTGTGTTCTGTGTAAACGTCTTTATTTCCAAATATAGACGACATTTTACTAGCAATTCCGTACCATTTCGACTGGCTTCCCTTGCCCAGAGGTACTACTCCCAATTGCGTTGGGAATGCCTTAAAGTGTTTGACCGACGAAGGTATAGGAAAAATAAAATAAAATATCACTAGTCTATGCTGAATGTAAACGCTGTGTTCCTTCATTAAACTATCGGAAGTGGCTGGTAATCTGGGAGTATGTTTGATTAACGTATTTTCTGGAACTTTAAAGTGAATTTCATAATAAGAAGTCTGGTGCATATAAGTGCCAATAAATTCTGTAAGAGAAAAATAATCTTATCACAGTTCTTTTCCTCCTTTGGACTTGTGTTGGGTTGAGATGGTTCATCATAATTTACTTTCTTTGCACCTGTTGAATGCCTGATAGCTTTTTAGGATGGCCGGTTCCTGTTGGTGCCTCAATGATATAATTGTTTGTTTTACTGCATGCTGATGGCTAACAAGATTAGCGCAGGTTGCAACGGCGGTTCCTCAAAGGATGCAGGGGTTCACGATCAAAATTGAAAATATTAAACACAAGTTAACCAACGCCTGGTAAATCTTCTGTCAGTAGATTCCATAAAGTGGATACCTCAGGTATGCAGGGTTGTTACGATAAAAACATAAAATGTAGAAGGTCCTATAACAACAACACTTTAAGGAATGCTCCAGTAATTTATTGAAACAATACATAAAATCATACCAACATTGTGACTTTTTAATTTTCTCAACCTGATTTTGTACATCAGCATGATTTTATGTATTGTTTTCTATCCTGATGACGGTGCCCTAGGCACCGAAACATGTCGATCTCAATAAATTACTGGAGAATTCCTTAAAGTGTTGTTGTTATAGGACCTTCTACATATTTGGAAATATGTAGAATATTGCCATTTCCCCCTTGTATAATGACTATATAATCAATATTCTCTTTATTGTAGATTTGAATTAGCAAGAAGGAGGCTCAAAGAACAAATGAAATCGCTATCTGAGAAAACGTGAAGTGAAATATTTAAAATAACAGTGAGGCATAGAACTTTTATGCAGTAACAAGTTGCACTAACAGAAAAGAGAAATAGTCCTACTTGAGAATGATTAAGCTTTAGTGCCATGGTATTATTGAATAGTTGTTCTCAACATGATGGTAACTTAAATGGACATTTGACATGCTCATGATGATTTTAACACTGGATGTATCCAATATTTTACCAGTATTAGGCATCCTATCGAACTGCTGTTACCTTGCAAATGCACAATCTTCATATTATCCAGTGCTGGATTGTAAAATAATGGTTATGTTGGCATGTAAAAGCTAATTAATATTATATATATCATCAGATCAACTGTTTAAGTATACAATCAATGTACAATGTTGTATTTCTTTCATTATTTCCATATACAAATAATTTAACATAATTATTTTTGTGGATATAGTTGAATTGATATGGGCTTTTTTTAAGCTGTTACTTCAATTTTTCTCTTAAAATATATGTCCACTACATTCAACTTTCCTTACTGACTTAATTATATGATCATTTTATCTAAAGCAGTTGTGTATTTAGTTTATTCATAATTAAAACAATACATGTATACTTCTTTTTTGAAATCACTTTTTAATGAATATTCAACGATTTTATTTGTTGTGTTATAGATACCTGATCTTACTAAATGCTTTAATCGCTGGTCTCAGGTAAAAATATCTTTTTTTGTAACAACATGCTTCTCTGTACAATGCTTAAAAGGCATTTTTTTTTGTATTCGTACATATCACATTTTTATAACAACAAAATCATATTCCGTATCCATGAATTCCATGTTTATAATACTAAGTGGGTTTTATAGCTTTAATGGTAAAAATCTAGTCTATATTACCTTGCATTTAAATATATATAATAAAACATTGCTTTTAATTATATATCTTATTAGTTAAAAGTGACTTGGTATGAAAGAGGGTGTGGATTGGGGTTTACAGAATAGAGAATAATGGGAATAGAGAAATATAGACCAACAAAATAAAGAATAGAGAAAAATGAGGTGCTAAAATATAAAGAATCAAGAATAATGGGTAAAAAGTATAAAGAATAGAGAAAAATGGCCTAAAAAATTAAAGAATGCAGAAATGAAGGACCCCCATCCATACCCTCATGAAAGCTACCCAAACCATTTTTATATTGTCTTGATTTAAAGGTATTTCAAGATGATTATTTAGACACATTTTATTTTTTTTATGTATAAAAAATATACAAAGGATATAAATATTGGATAAATTTTGGTGGCACCAAATACAAGTTATTCTTAGAAGAAGTTCTTATGTAATGCTTTGTATAAGTAAATAGTTTTCATCAAGCAAAACATTAATGCTGTCATGTCGATGGAGTGTACATTTGTAGAAAACATGATTTTTTTAAAACTGTGCCTTCTTTCTCTGTGGTTGTGAAATCTTTTTTTTCTCGCAATTCATGTTTTTTATCATTTGTTCATTTGGTCTACAATAAACTTGTTTTAATATTGTATATTTTTTTCATACCCTGTTCAAAAGGAGAGAGAGGAGTTCTGGTTTACCTCTTTCCGTCTGTGTCAATACACATTTCATTTACATTTTTACAGCAACTACAAGTCGTAGCTTCTTGATATATCACCAAGCTTCATTGGTTATTCAATACTGTGTGACATACTATCAGTTACTTTCAGTTACTTTAATGTTATTATATACTTCCTGTTTGCTGAAAACTAGAATAAACAACACCAAGCTTTGGTATAATTAGTTAGCAATAGCTCACAGTGCATCTTGTTATTTTTTAATTATACCAGTTTTTTTTATTTTCAAATTGCGACGATGAATTATTTTTGTTGGCTGAAAGGAATTATAGAATTAGTTATTTAAATGTTTTTAATTGTGCCAAGATTTGCCAAGGAAGATGCCATTTTTTTTTTACTTTTATGGAATATTAATCATTAAAAATACTTGAATTCATGAATTTATACTGTAGTTATGTAGTCTAAATAGGAAAATCTTCATATGGAAAATTTTTTACTTGTTGTTTATATCAAATGATGAAAATACTAACTTATATGTGCCAATTAATTTTTATATACTGATTATTATATCGTGTATTTTGTTTGTTTGTGCATTTACAACTTTAAAAGTTAAATCATAATGAAATGTTTACCTCGGCTTTACCTAGTTAATGACTGTTTCGGTTGCTTTACTGCATTTAGCAAATCATTAGAATTAAACGTTAAATTGTAATCAATATGAAAGACAGCAGTTACAACCAAAATAGGATGTTATTTTTGTATAAAGCAAATTATTATTTAACTTTTGGTCTGAGGCAACAAGGTCTCTCTTTACTTTTTAAACCTCTGGATCAATTTTAAGGAATTATGACTCAAGTAATCTTTTGCCATTCCATGTAAATGTTCCTTAAGATTAAAATTTTCAATTTTTGTCTAATTATGTGGACCTAATTAATCATGAAGCTGAAGTAAAGCTGAGGGTAAATTTTATTATGTGCATTTATGTATATAAACATTATACGTACTACTCATCCATATAATCCTCGGAATGTTATACTGATGTAGTTCTGTTTTTTTTTATTTAGTTGTGTGATAAGACCAGACATTCCATTTGTTAGCTGTAGTGTTTAAGAATATTTTTTCAGTTTTCACATCTTCCCAAATAAACGTGTGAATCAAATTGATTTGTTATTGGTCCTCTCAAACTAGCAGTTTTAAACTTTTTTTTAATAAGGTTTATTAATTTTTGATAAATATTTACTGATAGACAATTTAGAAAAGAGGAACTACTTTGCTTTGCATATTTTAATTTTTGAAATATTGTGAAGTCTGTATTTGTAAAAAAAAAATATAAATAATTGTTCTTCTGAAGATAGTTTACACCAGTAGACATTGAGGTAGATGGAAATTTGAAGTTGGAACAATACATTTGTTTTTTGGGAAAAGTTTACCAATTTGCAAGGTTTTTATTAAAGTTTCAGTAACACAGCAAACTAAGGACTATCAACTTCAAATATTGTTAAAAAGACTTTTCATTTACCTGTTAAACTATTAGAACAGTTTGGTTTTTTTCCGTCCTTTGTTATCTCCCCTCAAAACACCTCTTTTATTGTTTGTGTTGTTTATATTTCATGATTTCACGATTGTCATATCAATATCAGAAATTGCAAAATAAAACATTTAAATATGTATTTAATATAATTTTTGCATTTCAGTTCTTATATTTACTTGAGATATCTTTCACTGTTGCATGTAATGAGAATTCATTCAGTTATGTCAGCTGTTTAATCAAAATGATATTTTAATTATTTGCATCTATGTGTAAGATTATATATGCATTTATTAATAATTATATATTGAAGTATTAATTACTTTTATGCTGGGACTATTATGCTATTAGTATAATAGTCCCAGTTTTATGACACTTCACCAAAATTAAAACTAATTATGAAATTATACAAAATAAAGAAAAGTTATTGACTTGAAATATAGTATACTTCAGGGACTTAATTATTCCTTACCATAAAATCATCAAAATATCTGACATGCATAAGATGTTCATGTCATTGTAAAAATCAAAGTCTGGGGATGCTATGTGTTTACTAGAAATCAATTTGTTTTTAAATATTGCATATGGAAAATAAAATAATATGAAGTTGATTTACATAATTAAAATTCTCATGGAATCCTAGATATTCAATTTATCAAGAGATCAGAACTTTTTTTTTGTTTTTCTTAGTCTAATCACTTGCTGGAAGATCTCTGGCAATAAACTTTAATACTTACACCTTACAACCAGATCATAATGGACAATTAGATTTGACTTTAGATGTACTCTTTGATATTAATCAATAAATGCTATTTTGACTTTTTTGGTCATTGTGCTTCAGACTTAAGGTCAAAATGACTTTACGTAGTTGATTTTTTTAAGGACAAAATTTTTAAAGTTTTATTGTGCATTTACGTATGTTAAAAATTTTTGCTAAAGTAAAAATAAATTGACTAATACAAGTTTATGCTTTTGAGCTTATATTAAACAAATAGTCTGATTTCTTCTTTCCTTAAAATTTTCAGTTTTTGCACATATTATTTGTTAAAGTTGTCTGTGTAGACAATTTATAAGTTGCCATATGAAATGTTTTTGTATGTGTGTTAAGATTTGTTATGGAAACTGCTGTTGATTTTAATCAGTTGATTTAAGTATTTAAACTGTTAATCAGGATGCAATAAACTGGTGTAAATCTCATTTATACATTGTTTTGAAAAATATTAAATAAAATTATAGTAAAATATCTTTTGTTCAATATTAAATTACATCATTGTTGTGGAATTATTTAATTTCTAAATTGGCAGGTGGGCATGTTTCAATCTTAATTGACTATGATTGTCAGTTTTACTACCAGAGGTCGGTGGTTCTCTCTGGGCACTCCAGCTTCCTCCACCAAATAAAAACAACCACCACTAAATAGCCAACAGTGCTAAAGTGGTGTAAAACACCAATCAATCAATTCATTTTCAAATGAAATTCTAAGGATATCTCTGCTTTACTTGTGTACCTAATCTGTTAGAAACTTGTCTCATGGACTAAACTTGACCTTAGGGCATGAATGAATGTAGTGCCAGCTAGGGATGTATGAATTTATAATTTATCTAGTTCACAATTAACAATTCCTGGTTAAACAATTTAATATCACAGCTAATAAATTCATTCAAAGATATATATCCTAAACAAAAAATAACAGTCTTTACAAAGCTAAAGGAATGGACATATGTCACTATACTGTCTATATGTAGCACCATAAAATCATTGTTGGCATTTGTTTCAATGTTTACTATCATAACCGGCTTCCTTTGAATTTCTTAAAGGCACTAAATTCATAAAATGTTCTTCTTTCTTGACTAGACGGAACATTTTCTAATCTGTAAATACAATCATACAATGTTTCATACATAGATATCCAGCGTTTGTCATCATCAGCACCACTTCTGGATGATGCATCAAGGTAGTTTGTTGCATAACAGAATCCCGTTTTATATCGTGTATCAGCAAGCCCCATCTGTCCTCCATATCCTCCATGACCAAATATGTACATTATCTGAAAATTAATGAAGAATTAACATCAAAGATGGTAAGGATAATACTGGAATGTAAGATATGAGTGTTTCATGTTTGTGTTGAAATTTTAAAGTTATTTCCCCTTGTTAATTTAGTTACTCCTGTGTTGGTGGTAGTGGTACAGGTATATCTCGGTTAACCTATAATTATAGCACCTCAACCTAAATAGTTATATACTTTGTGAGAAGACTATATGTTTGAAAAACTTGTCTCTCATCCCTTTTGTATATTAGAGAAAATAAAATGTGTTTAAACTAAACCTGCTTTAGCACTTTCATTCCAGATGGTTAAGCACTATATTTGGATAGACCTGGTGATTTTCAAAACTATTATTTTACAAGTGACTAAACCACACTGGCGACATTGCAGGTCTGTGACTGAATTAAAGTACCTATGCCTTATTTGTAGCCTGGATTTTAAGTATTGGCTTGGGAACTGGGTAGGCAAATGCTCACATTAAATCTACTGATAGTGTGTTAAATGTCCTCCTTTACACCATAACCCATGGTGGTGCTCCTATTAAAGGAGGGAGATACAGAATATACATATATATGCTATTGTTATCGGTATCAGATTCTACCCAGAACTTGTTAATTATTGGTAATATTAATTATGTAGAAAACAAAAGAGCCTGGAATGGTGTAATTTACAATCAAGACCATTGTCCTATATTAGTGTTATATAAAGTTGAATTCTTTGATTCATCATTTTTAGGCAGTTAAGCTGCCTAATGCTAGCACCCTAGATTTGTGTTCTTCCCAACGAATGCTGAAAAAAGTGCCATTGTTATAATCTAGCAGGCTGATATGTTATTTATAACTAACTGGACATTTTTTTCATACTTTTAATTCTGGAATACAAAAAATATAACCAGAATAACCTTAAATGATCGTCGAACGACCCATGATATTTGAAGTTGCACATAGGAAATAGTGTTCAATAGAAATCCGTTCGTAGTTTATTATCCCCTGTGCTTTTGGCTAAGATGTCAAAGAACAATTGTATGAAATATTTCATCGCCGAAATCTGTAATTACAAGTCGTTTATATTTCCCAAATGGCAAAATGCGCAGGAATATTGTTCATGTACAACAAATCTCTATGATAGAGGAAATAAAGTTATATATCTAAGTTGGCGGTAATTTTACAACTTATTTTGCCAAATAAGGTTGTTGTTTTATGAATGAAACGAGGTCATGAAACAGATCCGGAAATCGACGTCGATGGGATGTTTTAAGTAATGTGGACAACTCGTCCCCGAGACAAGTTGGACCGAATCCACTCGAACCGTCTAAGAAGACAACTCGGACCGCTTGTCAGATTTACTTAGGGTTTCATAAAATGTTAGACTAACATGTCTAGCGAAGCCATCAATCTTTTGTTTGTGCATTGGGGTCTATTTAGGGGTATTTTGAGGGGGCCTAAAGAAGGGATGGGTTAACTGTAGAACCCTAAAGGTTTTTTTTTTTTAAATTTTCAAATGACTATTTCTCGAAAACAGTAAGTGATAGACACACGCGGTCTTCAGTAATGAGTAAAGGACAATACAACAAATCAAATAAAGTATAGAGTGAGTCCCTGGGGGTCATCCCAACCCCCTTCAATTTGAAAATGTGCTTTTATCTTGTAAACGGCTGCAATCCCCACCCCTAAACCATATATATACTTGTATGGGACAATAAAACAAATCAAATGAAAATAATTTGGGTAAGTTCCCGGTGTCACCCACCCCCTTCTGTTTGAGAACTTGTAAACAGTCGAGATCCCCACCCCTAAACCATATATATTAATGTATGGGACAATAAACAAATCAAATGAAATATATGGGGAGTCCCTGGGGTCACCCCACCCCTCCTGTTTGAGAACTTGGAAATGGTCAAGATCCCCACCCCTAAACCATATATATTCATGTATGGGACAATAAACAAATCAAATGAAATATATGGGGAGTCCCTGGGGTCACCCCACCCCTCCTGTTTGAGAACTTGTAAACGGTCGAGATCCGCACCCCTAAACCATATATATTCATGTATGGGACAATAAAACAAATCAAATGAAATATAGGGGGAGTCCCTTGGGTCACCCCACCCCTCCTGTTTGAGAACTTGTAAACGGTAGAGATTCCCACCCCTAAACCATATTTATTCATGTATAGGACAATACCGTAAATTGGGAAATTTTGGCGTCTGGATATTTTGGCGGTTTTCTCTCGAAAGGCACGTGTTTTATTTTGGTGTGTGTAATTTTGGTGCTTCGTCACATTGATATGTTTAATTTTAGAACAACAGTAGAGAGCAAGCTCATTCATATTTGCCTTTATTTACCCGTTTATTGACAACATATCATTGAATTTCTCAAACTAGAAACACGACAAAGTGAATTTAAGGAAGGAATAGGATACGGATGCAATTGCAAATAATTCCGTATATCAAGATTCAAAGCTGGAAGAAAATATGAAATAAAATCTTAAACATTAAAATCACTTTTTAAATAGATTATTTATTTTTTACAAATATCACATGAAATAAATTTTAGTCATCTCTGTTGCAGTACTTGTTAATCTATTGACGATCAAGGATTTTAATTTTAATCCTTATGCCTCTGGCAGTACATGTAAATTGATCGAAGATAAAGGATTACAAGGAGTTTTGATATTCTAATTACTAATAACGGCGTCAATAATCAGCAATAGCCTGGCATATTTATGACATGTGTGAATACAAATTCATATTGTGTTTTCTTAACAATTTCAGAAAATTGACAATTAAGTAAAAATTGTATAGTGTTGTTGTCGAAGTATACCAGGTATTTATTTGCAGATTTGGCTATGTATAGAATTGTAGGAAATATACGGAAGATCTAATAACATAAATTATTTTCCCCAACAATTAGCATTACACATTGTCGTACCGGTACGCGATTTTGATGTTTCAATTTTTAGTGTTTGCTTTATTTTCGTGTGTTTAATTTTGGCACTTTCATTGGAGGCACCAAATAAACCAAAATAAAACTACAACCAAAATAACCCAATTTACGGTATAACAAATCAAATGAAATATATGGGGAGTCCCTGGGGTTGGCCCACCCCCTCCTGTTTGAGAACTTGGAAATGGTTGCGATCCCCACCCCTAAACCATATATATTTATGTATGGGACAATAAAACAAATCAAATGAAATATAGGGGAGTCCCTGGTCACCCCACCCCTCCTGTTTGAGAACTTGTAAACGGTAGAGATCCCCACCCCTAAACCATATTTATTCATGTATAGGACAATTTAACTTATCAAATGAAATATATGGGGAGTCCCTGGGGTCACCCCACCCCCTACTGTTTGAGAACTTGGAAATGGTCGAGATCCCCACCCCTAAACCATATGTATTCATGTTTGGGACAATAAAACAAATATAATGAAATATAGGGGAGTCCCTGGGGTCACCCCACCCCCTTCTGTTTGAGAACTTGTAGACGGTCGAGATCCCCACCCCTAAACCATATATATTCATGTATGGGGCAATTTAACAAATAAAATGAAATATATGGGGAGTCCCTGGGGTCACCCCACATCCTCCTGTTTGAGAACTTGGAAATGGTCGAGGTCCCCACCCCTAAACCATATATATTCATGTATGGGACAATATTAAAAACAAATCAAATGAAATATAGGGGGAGTCCCTGGGGTCACCCACCACTCCTGTTTGAGAACTTGGAAATGGTCGAGATCCCCACCCCTAAACCATATGTATTCATGTTTGGGACAATAAAACAAATATAATGAAATATAGGGGAGTCCCTGGGGTCACCCCACCCCCTACTGTTTGAGAACTTGGAAATGGTCGAGATCCCCACCCCTAAACCATATGTATTCATGTTTGGGACAATAAAACAAATATAATGAAATATAGGGGAGTCCCTGGGGTCACCCCACCCCCTTCTGTTTGAGAACTTGTAAACGGTCGAGATCCCCACCCCTAAACCATATATATTCATGTATGGGGCAATTTAACAAATTAAATGAAATATATGGGGAGTCCCTGGGGTCACCCCACATCCTCCTGTTTGAGAACTTGGAAATGGTCGAGGTCCCCACCCCTAAACCATATATATTCATGTATGGGACAATATTAAAAACAAATCAAATGAAATATAGGGGGAGTCCCTGGGGTCACCCACCACTC